TGGCAGGGGGATACGGGGCAGCAGAGCCCCTCACCAGCCCTGCCACCTCCTCCTGCCACCAGCAGCCATCCAGCCGGGATGGGCTCCTCGATCCCTGAGGCTTTTTGGGGGTGGATGGTGAGGGATGTCCCAGCTGCACCCCGAGGTTGGGGCAGCACCCCGGGGGTTTGGGAGGCTGGAAGAGTCAGTGCCATGTCAGAGCTTGCAGTTTCTTCCCGTTCCTTCTGGACCAAGAGCTCTCCTGGGGCTGAGCTGAGTTCTCTGCGTCTCCTCCAGGAAGGATGTCCCACCTAGGATGGCAGCACCAAGAGGTGATGGGCTTCTTCCTTCTTCCTTGGCACAGCCCCTCAGTCTCCAGCGTGGCCAGCACCACCACCCTGCCAACCAGCTGCCACAGGGCTCTGGCATTTTGGTGTGATCCTGGAAGTGGCAGGTCCCCAGATGGAGGATTGTCTTGCACACCTGGATCCCTGCTCCTGAGAGGCCACAGCTGCAGGGCTGGGAGGGTTTCTCCAGCCTGGCTTTCAGGCTCCCTCTGGGACACATTTCCCACCCTCTGCCAGGAGAAGCTTTTTTCCCAAAGCTGAATGAATTGCATTTGAGGAAGGTTGTTTTTTTTTCCTGCTTTCCTGCTATCTCTGTTCTTTTGTCCTTTCTCTCCTTGCTGTGCCTGTGGGAGAGTCCCTGGATAACCCCTTTACTTCCTTCTTTCCTCTCTTCCTTGGCTTTTCAAAACCTCAGCTCTCTGCAAGGGCATCAGCTCAGCCCTCTGCCCTCTCTCTGTGGCAGCTGGGCAATGTTTTCCACTGCTCAAGGCAACAAACCTTTAAAAATACAACAACAGCCCCACTTTGCATCAGTTGTTAGTGATAACGAGTGTCTGGGGGGCATCAGGCAGAGGCAGGAGGCTGCACTGGGTTCCTGGGGATGGGAACACTCAACACCTTCATGAGATGCTATTGAAGGTTGGTTTTGTCTTGTCTTAGAAATGCCTGGGAAGAGTGAAAGGAATGAGGCTGCTGCAGGTGGGTGAACAGCAGCTGACACAGAGGGGCCAGGCCAGGCTGGTGGGGTGGAACAGGATTTAGGTCCAGTGACAGGATTAGCCTCACTGGTGGCTGAAGTCCCTCCCCAGCAGATGTAAAACTCAGCCAGCCATGGCTGAAGCTGCCAGGAAGGACCAGGCACTGCAGTGGGCACTGCTTCCTGACCTGGCCCAGAGCAGCCACGTGCTTCTGCAGCAGAAACAGGAGCTCACCCTGGAAGAGAGAGCAGAGCAGAAACCTACAGTGGCCAGGGTGTTGTCCGTGGTTTTTCTGCAGGTCAGTGCAGTCATGAGGGAGGTTTTACAGGCCAGGCTGCTCACTGTGCCTCACATAGGCTTGGAGACCCTTCAACAGGGCAGCACAACCTTCTTGTTTTGCCTCGTGCAGCTTGTCCCCATCACCAGGGCTCCTGGCTGCTCATCTGGTGGCCAAGCCTAGGTGACAGTGCAGGACCTGAGCAAGGTGGCTTTGAAGTGTCCAGGTGGGTCTCCAGGCAGAGCAGGCTCCACTGTACCCAGCTAGAAGTTATGACTTAGTGCAAAGAGAGGTATGAGCCAAGCCACAACTTAGCTAAAACCCCTTCAGCTTTCCTGGAGACTTGTGGTGGGTTTGGGTTGGGACAGGTGATTTTTGTTGTGGTTTTTTTTAGGTGCCTTCTTTCCTGAGCTGGCAAAGTGTCCCCAGCTTTGGAGTCACTTGTCTCTCACCCTCCAGGAGGGCAGGGAAGGTGTCTCTGAGGCTCTTTGCCTCCTCCCATGATGTGAGAGCTGCCTTTCTGGTTGATGGGTGCATGACCTGAGGGCTGGTTTGCCTCTGGCAAACACCACCTTCTCCCCAGACATGGCCTTTCAGAGGGCAGCAGGAGTTGTTTGCTCTGCCAGGGCTGTATTTCTCCTCCCTCAGCCCAGCTAAAACCCAGCCCAGAGGAGCTTGTGCAGCCAGGAGAGGCCAGATGCTCTTGGTTGGTGGGTTTAACATGGACCTTCCTTCACACACACGATGAATGAGGAGGAACCTCTGGATGTGGCACAGACACTTGTCACCCTTGTTCTCCATCAAGGTCCTAGTGAGCCAGGTGGTTGTGGATGGGAAGCACTGCCTTACAGACCTTCAGATGCTGGCTGGATTGTTCACCTTCTTTGTCACAGGGTAGGAAAAGGATGGGGAAGCAATGATCTGCAAGCAACAATGTTCATTTGTAAATAGGGAAGAGTCTGGAAGAGTTTACTGTTCTGTAGAATAAATTAATTTTATTTAAAAAAAGAAAGGGGAGGTGGGGGGGAGAGGGGGAAATGACTTGTTAAACAAAAGGAGAACTCGACCTCCAGTTTTAAAATAAAACCACTTGCAAAAAGGACAGAACCTGAGCATGAGCATGGGGTTTGGGTGGATTTGCTAGGGAAAAGAAGTGACAGAGAGGGAGGATGCTGTCATGTTGCTTGTGTGCAGCCCCCGTGGCTACCTGGAGGCAGCTGGGGCTGGGGTCAGACCACCCTTCCACTGAGGATGGAGGAGAGGGGGCATTTTTCTCACTGTTGAGAAAGGAGGTTGTAGGATGTGCCCAGGCTGGGCTCTCCTCCCAGTCTGTTTTCTTTGGTTTGTTACTGGTACAAGGCAGAACATCTCCATCCCTGGGGTAGTGCACATAACAGGGAATGGGCAGCCCTGAGGAGGGAAGATGGGAAGATGGACCTCCCTGGCCAAAGGCTGGTGCCAGCACCTCCTAGCAGCTGAGTTCCCTGTGACATGGCTTTCTCCCCTCGTTTGTCCCTCCTGGGGGACTGTGCCTCACACTCCACCATTGCATGACTTCCTAGTGTACTCCCTCCTGCTGAGGATCCCCTGGGAACACTGGTAGGTTGTCCCAGACCATGGTGTCACAGCTGAGCAGTGTGACAGCCCCTGCTCCCAGGCACAGCTCACATGTGGCTTCCCGGGTGGTGGAGGGACCTGCTCAGCTCTCTCGTGTGTCATGATCCATTCAGCAAAACATGCCCTCCTTTAAAGTCCCCAGAGCCCATTATCCACTCCTGGAAAGCTTGTCCATCAGGAGCTGGGGAGGTGACAGCCCCTCTGTATGGACTTCCCCTTGGTTGCCTGCAAGGCAGGCTCAGAGGGCTGTGCCCTGGGGACAGCTGCTCCTCCTGCCTGGCACCCAGCCCTTCACACCCCGGGCTGGCAGCAAATTGGCTCATTATGACATTAGTCTTGCTGGAAAACGTGCTTTCCCTTTCCCGAGGTTGCTGGGAGGGCAGGACTCCACATCCCTTTGCATCAAAGGCAGAGATGGAGCAGTGGGACAAGAGGGAAGCAGCAGCACACGGGCTGGGCTGGGGTTTGTGCCAGGCAGGGAGCAGGGCTGCTCTGCAGGGATGCTGGCCCGGGGCTGCACCCTGGCACATAGTGATGAAGAGGGCAAAAATGTGAAGGGATTTGGGCCTCCCACGTGTCCCGGGTGTTGGAGCTGCCCACGCTGCTCCTGCCTGCCTGCCAGGAAGGGCCTTTCTCAGCAAAAGGCTTCCAGAAGGATCCCTTTGGTGAGACAACTCCTCCCAGTGCCACTGCTCTGCAACACAAATGAGCTGCTCTGACACAGAGCAGGGAGCTGAATTCTCTTGTTTGATTTGCACCCAACTATGAAAACCCTTCCCTGTTCTCATGCAAATCCCCAGTGAACGCAGTTCTACCCAGCCCAGCCCTCTGTTTTCGTGGGCTTTGCATATATTTTTTTAATGGCATGATGCAACACTTCCTATTTTTGTACAACCCACGTCATAGTCTTGTCTCCCCTCCCCAGATAAATATATTTTTAAAATAATACATGCATAATAAACACACCAAGAGCCTGCACCAGTTCCCTAGACACGTGGTTTCAGAGTGAGATGCTCCCAGGTCTCTTTCCCCAGCACTGTTTTTGTGGGCTCTGTTTGGTGCCTGCTGTGTCCCAGGGCTGTTGAGTCATGGCCAGCACAAGCCACACTTTGGGCAAGAGGTTGCCCAGCTGCTCCTGGCACCGTTGGGCTGTCACAGTGGCTGGGGGCACAGCTGCCACTCTGCCTTCCTCCTGTGGGGACTGGCGTGAGGGGGCTGAGACCTGACAGCTCATCACGCACACCCTCGCTTTGGGGAGCTGTGTGTTGTGGAGAGGTGGCTGTAGCAGCAAGGGGGAAGAAACAGGGTGACACCTTATGGGCTAGAGAGCTAAACTGGCATGTTTGGTGCTCAGCAGGGGAGAGGAAACAATGGATTTGCAGCAACTCTGCTTCTAAAGCCTGTTCTGCAGTGACTGAGAGGGGACAGGAGCAGCCCCAGCCTCTGCAAATGGGGCTGGTGTGTCTCCCTGCTAGGGGCTGAGTCCAGGCTGGCAGGAACCTGGTTTCTGTCCTGGTGGGCTGAAGAGGAGCCAAGGCTGTGAGAGGCAGGGGCACAGGAGCTGGTGAGCTGTGGCAGGCAGCCTGGGGAAGCTGTTTGCTGCAAGGATGCCTTGCAGGGCCAGCGTGGCAGCTGGGAGCTCAGCCAGCACCACATTCACACCATTCTATTACAAATCGGGTTGGTAAGACAAACACGAGGCACAAACTGGTGCGATTGCCATGGCAACCTCAGCAGAGGTTGAAAAGTCTTTTGTAAACAAGGGGGGGCTGAACCTGAGGATCAGTTCCCATTTCCTTCACGGAACGGGGAAGGGAGAGCGTGGGGCTTCATAAATTCAGGCCATACAAATGACCCATAAATCTCAGAATTCCTCACCCCTCTCTGTTCCCTTTTGTCACCTTCTCCACATGCACAGCACGGAGCTGTCTGAAACCAGGAGCCCAACTTGAGGCCTCCAGCTTTCTCTCCATGAAGTGCAGGAAGGCGAAAGCCCCTCTTCCCATCCCAGCTCACCTTTCCCAGCTCGTTCCCTGGCACAGGCACAGCCCCAGCATAGGCCAGGCCATTTCTGGCGGGCAGTGGTGGCTCGACAAGAAATTTGGCCTTCAGAGGAAGCCCACACTGCAGCCAGCTCTGGGTGTCCTTCTGTCCCCATCAGACAAGGGTGGATGTGGCCACACAAGCCCCTGCCTGCTCCATCCACCTTTCCTGCCAAGCCCAGGGTGAGAAACGTTTGTCGCGCCAATGAACAGGCCCACACGGATCCTTCAACGAAGCACAGTTTATTTACATTCTTGCAAGAACGGGTGACCTAAACAAGCAGGCACATCCATAGCAAGGTGAATAACAGTTTATATTCCCTATTTCCAACGCAAATTTCCCTCCCCTGTTTCCCCACTGGCTGGGCACTCCAGGGCTCACAGCCCATCCGACGCTTCAAATTATCCTATAAGTTTCCTGCCCCTGTTTACACATCCCATTCTAGCAGGTCACTTTTTACCTTTTAAGGTAAAATTTTGACCTTTCATGCCCCCTGGGCTGTCTTCCCAATTAACAAATCTACTGGTGTCATCCTGCCCTGAGAGCAGGACAGAAGGGGCTTTGTTGGGTCTGATCGTGGCCCATCACTCCGTCTCCATGTTTAGATCCCCAGGTGGAACCCAATTCACTCCCTCAGTTTCTTGGGCCATAAACCACTTCTGGTGTCCTTAGAATACACAGATATCTCACTTATCTCAAACAAACTATATATTTCTAACATTAGGATATAAACCAAACCTGACACTGTGTTTCTAACACTAGAATGCAAAAAACACTGCATTTCATTTCTAACATCAGGAGGGAATATGAATGCAGAGGGCACCGTGTGTCCCCCCTGCCCAGCACCTTCCTGCCCTTCCAGCACCTGGCAAAGCCACGCCAGGAGGGAATCACTGCCTAATTACTGCTTAA